GGTTCCCCTCGCCCCTCACCCCCCTCAGAGGACCCGAATTAGAATCCCCTTATATACTCTACTTATTCCAACTCCATTAATGTGGGTGGTTGAATTGTCTGAATATATCATGTAGTGATTGTCTGACGTTGTAATGTCCCCGCTGTTCTTCCACCGCACTTCGCTGAGACCTAGGATCTTAATTTTACAGCGTGTCATTTCTTTGCTTAGTTGTGCCAAACGGGATGCCTGTGCCAATGTCCGGATGTTCCAAGTGCCAATTCGTATACCTTTTTGATAGCTAAGGTTCATTTCCGTTGTATCCGTCCGATATCCGAGGCTCGTATTCGTTTCTCGAATCAGCTTGTTTCGGGTTTGCGGGTGATTGGCCCACAGAATCCTATCCAGCCGTCAGAGTTATACTGACTGTCGGTCGGCCGGAGCAACCGGTGATGGCCGTTTTTGTTATTATTTTTATTTAGGAATTCTAGCTGGATTTGAACTCGGGATCTTTGGCATAGGAGGCAAATACTTTGCCAGTGCGCTACGGCCACCACTAATCACAGACATACTCTGGTTTAATATTATGTTTCTCTATATACGCCATTAAGGCCCATTTTCACAATATACGGTAACTTACAGGTTAAAGGTTACCAAGAAAGTCATTGTTCCACGATATTTGGTTAGGATTTAATCCGCAAGTTAACTCGGGTATATTTTACCTATACTTGGTCTTTGGGTTAACTGACATTTTGAAGCATTTTAACCTCACATTTAGAAGAAAATACGTATGTCTCCGTATGTAATAGTAAAATACAGCGTAGAAGAGCAAATTAAAAAATGGATATAGATATAAATGTTTATAGTAGCGACGAGGATTTTGAACCAAGAAGACGATTATTTAGACCGCGAATGAATTATTTTGAAGAATACGATCAAGAAGAATTTCATTATAGATTTAGATTAAAACCAAGGACAGTAGAAAATATTTTAGAAGAAATTAGAGATATTATTTCCCATCCCACAGGAAGGTAAATATTTAGTTGATTTTTTTATTACATTAGCTTTTTCTCGTATAAGCTTCTGTTTAAGATAATTATTTTGAAAATTTTATTTTTTAGAAATAATTGTCTGACTGCTAGCCAGCAGTTATTACTTGCATTAAACTTTTACGCAAATGGATCATTTTTACGAATAGCAGGAGATTGTGGCGGAGTTAGTGTACCTACAGCTAGCCGAACAGTAGCAAGAGTTTCTCAAGCCATAGCTAGTTTATGCCCAAGATATATAAAAATGCCTGAAGGCGATGAAGCCACCGAAGTACGACAAGCCTTTTATAATATTGCCCGATTCCCAAGATATATTGGATCAATAGATTGTACCCACATTAAAATACAATCACCAGGTGGTGATAATGCTGAAATATTTCGAAATAGGAAGCAATTTTTTTCTCTAAACGTTCAAACTGTTGCTGATCCATTTCTAAAAATAAGAGACATAGTGGCACGATGGCCAGGATCTTGTCATGATAGCCACATATTCAGAAATTCTGCTTTATATACTTCCTTGGAAACTGGTCGGTTTGGAGACAACGTATTAGTTGGTGATAGCGGCTATCCAGTAAAACCTTATTTAATGACTCCTTTACAGCAAGTGAGGAATAACGCGGAGGCACTTTATAATGAATCCATAGTCCGTACAAGAAATGTTGTAGAGAGAAAGTATGGAGTATGGAAAAGAAGATTTCCAGCATTGGCAATGGGAATACGTCTAAAACTAGACACAGTTCAAGCTATGGTAGTAGCTACAGCTGTTCTTCATAATAAAGCCTGTGATGAAAAAGAAAGGTTACCGCCAATAAATCGTGAACAGGAAATTGCTATTGATAATATTAATAATGTCCCAGTGCAAAATATTGAAGGTGATATTATTGGAGTAAATGTAAATAATCAAATAAGACATAACTTAATCTATAATTATTTTGCAACTTTATAATATTTTATTAGGTTATATACTGAAATACTTACATTACTTTTGTATTCAATTTTCTTAATATGCTGAAATATATTGTATATCAAAACACTCTGTGTATGTATTTGACAATGTCAATATATATTAACATATTTTTATAGTAAATGTTCGTATGCTTAAATCAATCAACTTTATAATCATTATTTTTGTGCTACACAAAATAAAATTGTAAGTATACATAATTACACTACATTTTCAGGATAACTTTAAAATAATGCACAATACATTTCTTTATAAAACATAACTTATATCAGAAAATGTTTTTTGTATGTCAAAACAAAAATTAACTACTTATATTAATCTTTGAGAAAGAGAGAATATTAAAAATAATAGAACTTTATATTTTCTACACGCATATAAAACAATTGTCATAACTTATTAGAAAGTATATTTAGTATATAATTTTCATTTTTGTGAAAATAAAAAAAGAAATTCCACGATCAAAAACTTTTAAATGCAAATAATCTTTGACTAGCAAGAAATAGCTATATCGTATAAAAATAATAAAAAATTTATACACATGAAAATAATAAAACAGAAACTAGAAGTTCACATTTATAATGAATAATGCAACATTGCACAACATATTTGTATTTTAGTTCAAATAAGAAACAGAAATATCACGTTCATTTCTTACATTGTTTGATAACTTCATTACACATTAAAATAATAAAAAAAAAGAGGAACTAAAAGTGTATATTCTCAATGGACAATACAACATTGTAAAACATATGATTTGTACTTTAGGTCAAATAAAAACAGAAAATATTACATTCATAAACATGTTTCTTACATTTTTTTGAGAACTTCAAGTTTCTTTTCCTTAATTTGCTTTTTTAACTTGAGGATTTCCATTTTTAGATTATATTCGTCTAAAAACTTTTGTTTCTGTAATTTTAAAAAGTCTAATTTTTCAGTAATTATATTATTTGCTTCGTCAACTCGTCTTTTTAAGGGACGTTGATCTATTACTTTTCTCTTCCCTAAAAAATAAAAAGTTTTTTTAAGAATAAATAATCATATTTTTGCTTTAAATTGGGATATCTAGTAAAAATATCATATGTACAATTTTATTAGAATATTCAATACAATTCTTATTTGACTCAACAACAAGTTTCTTCGACACAGGATCCTTTAAATTTTTACTGCAATAAGCAGTCCAATCATTTGTTGAAGAAGATAAATGTTCATCGTCGTTTTCTTTATTTTCTAGTGTTTATAAGAATAATCTTATTAAAACTCTGAATTTTTTAAAATATGTGTAATTATACTTATTATTTATGTATATTAAGTAACATTATTATAAGAAACTAACCTTGTTCATCAATCTCTTCTTCAAGAAGAGTAATGATAAAATTTTCATCAATTATTTTATCAAAGGAAATAATTGATGTAGAAGTAGAACTGGTTTCTGATAGCTTTGTCGAACCATGATCAGAATTATCGAGCACTATTAATGAATTGAGATATAAAAACAATAACGTATTATAATAGCCAATATAATAAATATACATTAAAAATTACAAGGATTAATATAAAAGAACTTACATTGAACATTTTGTGATTCACAATCATATGAATTTTGTAATCCAGAAACTTGTTCTCCTAATATGTCTTTTATTGCCAAATTTGTATCTGTTAATTTTACAGGCGTGAAAGATCCTCCGCCTGTTTTACAAGTATTTATCTTTTCTAAAGCAAATTTTCTTTTAGTTTCTTTCTTTAAATTATTAAATTTTTCTTTCAAATGTTTTGCACTTCTAAAAGCATTGCCATTATTTTTACTATTAAATTCCATTTCAATTTTCAACCATGCTTTTTCTTTATCTTTCCAGGTTAAGACATTACTTTTTTTACATTCTATAATATTCTTATATTTTTCAACGAGACCGATTAAAAGTTGTTCTTCGTTTTTTGAAAAATTTGGTGCTCGTTTATCTTCCTGCATAATTTTTTTCTGAGATTGAGACTGCAATGACAAATTGAGGTTATATTATAATGACACAAATATGACATAATTCGAACTCAAATAAACGTAGTTAATTATTAAGTACATTATTATAGTAAACTATCCAAGTAGCAAACTGACGTTATTGATCTATTTTAACATCAAAATATCATCAAAGATATATGTACATGTTTTAACATCATAATAATGATAAACAATGTTATTTTACTACATGAATTGATTACTCACCATTGCAGAAATTATTATATTTCGCAAATATCTGATAACTCAAGACTCTCAAGAGCACTCCTAACCTAAGATCTGTTCTTTTTAGCCGAATTTTACTGTCTGTTGAACGCAACCACTGATGCCAACCCAATAGAAGTGCATGCATCCTTTATTTAACCATAAGCTTATGAAAAAGTACGATTAGTTAACTTTCAAGTTATGGTTAATCTAACCTTTTGGTTAATCACATATCGTGAAAATGGGCCTAAGTCTTTTAAAAATGGAGATTCATCCATTTGTATTTTAAACTTATTGAATGGGGACATATTTCTTTTATAACAAAGTCTCTCACAAGATACACAAACACATCGAGGTGTGTCCATGGTACGTTTGGTGTAAGCCTTAAATGCATTCTTAAATGCAGAAAAAATTTCTTTTTCATTCAAACTAGTATGAGTTTGCTCATGTCTGTACATACGTTTTGCTTTTTCTTCTGCCAAAGTTATAATTTCATTTAATGTATCTAAATCAGCAGAACATAAAGCCTTCTCTAGTTTCAACATCTGTTGATATAAATTTGTTATTTGATAAATTAACCGTTTGACATATCTAACTTTTGGGAAATGAGGCGATAATAAGTTAATGGGAAGAGACATTGCTTTGCAAAGAGTTATATCAATGTAACAACAATGCGTGTGACCCAACTTTGTATTCGAATTTGTTTTTATTATATATTCATAATTTGTTTTTATTGTACATTCATGAATCTTTTGTAACAATTGTGGAATTTTCTTAAAAGTACATATACTTATCGATTGAAGGACTTTTTCATAAGAATCAATCAAATTGATCATGAATTTTACATAAACTATTGTCGCATAACCATGATTTTTTTCCTTATGCTTCTATCAAAGGTAATACATTCGTAATTTGACCTTCCATGTTTATTACCAATATTTGTGATGAAGAAATATTAATTTACTATTTAGATCTGTCTGAGTATTATTATGTGTGTAATTAACTACTTCTTTTCTTAAAATTTCCTTTGAAACGCTTTGTGTTACTGCTATTGGAAGTACTTTTTGATGAGCATTTTGTGGATCTTGAGGGAAATGTTCAATAACATTTGTTTCAAGAATTTTTATCAAATGCGAACGCATTAACTTATGATCATATCTGATTTTGTCAGGTTTAAAGTTAAATAATAATGACGTCGCAAAGGCTATAGCAAAAACACCACAATCATTACAATTCGGTTGACGTTGCACCTTAGGAAATTTGACAGGATTTTTGTGAAAGTCATATGTTGGAAATAATCTTTTCAAAAATAACTCATATTTTTTGTGCAAAGTTTTATTATTTAAAGAATCGTATATAAATATATTTTTCATATCATAAAAGCTACATACCCAATGTCCATCTGACAAACCTGATGAACTGTGTAATATTTGTATATGTTTTGTATCTTTTGACACAGCCTGTATGGTATCTAGTAACTGTATTCGCCAGGTTTCGACAGGTTTATAATCTAAACAACTTGCTAAAAGTCGTTGAAAATGATCCATATGTCTGTCTGTAAGCCAATCACCTCGATCAATTATATCTTTATTGGCAGACGTTAAAATGGTGTTACGGAACGTCGTGGTTTTAGAAATTCTCTCCTATTTTTGGGTCAATGCATTTAAGCAATTTACCCTGGGATTGGAGGTCAGGATGTGCGATTAGGAATGTTCAGGAGGAAGGGTAGGATAGTTTTTAGGAAGGGTGACTTTGAACCCGGTCCCAAAGAGTTCGCGAAGTTTGTAGGCGAGCCTGCGTGGATCGCCTTTTCGGATGGTTTTATAATTGGGAAAGGTGAGGTTAATTTCTAATAGGCTGAGGATATATTCGCGTTCGGGAGATGGATCTAATGGTTTATTATGGTTTAGTAGACGCGCTAGTTTCTCGAAATAAGGAAAAGGATCGTGATTTTTATTAAAGGCTGTTTTGATCTGGAACCTTAATCTCTTCTCTTTTTCTCTTCGTCCACCTTTTGAAGGCATGGAAGCAACGCG